TGGACTTATAGAAGTAGAAAACTACTTGAGGTGTTATAGGGAATAAACCCACAATCATTTTTGAGTGACAGCCCTTCAACTCCTGGTAGATTGTCCCTTATGGCTCCCCTTAGCTTTCTCTTCTTTAGCCTAAATGCACTCACTTCATTTGACTACATATGATTTATGCTCCAAGCCCCTCAACATTTTGTCAGTCTTCTTGGCACCTTTTCCAATACCTCAGAAACCTTCTCTTGTGATTCTAGAGAAGCACTGGACCCATTGTTTATCAAGGTTCCAACTGATGAACCCAACCAAGCAAACCTCTCCAAAACAATCCAATCTCTTAATGCAAAACTTATTGAGTACATCATTTTGACATGATTGCAAGCAAAACCAGGTCTGGCAACACACACCCCCCGACTCATATAGTAAAAGTATAGAATTCAAAACCAGGTCTGGCAAACCCCCCCCCCCCGACTCATATAGTAAAAGTATAGAATTCCCCACCCCCTTCTTTATTCAGGTCACATTGCCCAATTAAGTGCTAGAATATTGTTATGAGAAAGTATCTCTGAGTTTGGGCAGACACCTGGTGAACTGTCCTTGGTTCTTATGGTCTGACATCTTGAATTCTGGAGCCCGCATTCCATTTCCCTTCCCTCCCCCCTAGTTTGTTGGCAAGCTGAGAAGCAATAATTGTCACAACAGCAAAACCGTGCTTTGAACTTGACATTGTTTCTAGATTAACTGCTTCTTAGAACTGCTTTCCGAAGTAATACCTTACAAGGTTCAAATGAAGCACCCATGTTATTTCATACCTCTCCCTTTAACAGTCCCTCTGAGCTGTCTCCTGGAATAGTGTTGGTTAATATGGTTGCCATGTAGAATCCATCCTGCAACATACCCCACCCAGCCTTAGCAAGATCAACATCAGATTGGTAACTACTAAGCACATGCTGAAGATATTCCAGTCTGTGTGGCTTCAACAGATACTGAAACCCACACTTGTGTCAAAGACTTCAGCCATTAAGAATGATGGGAATTGTTTTGTCACGGTGAATCTCTGCCTTACCTGAATGAAGAAAATCATAGCAACAGTCAACATCAGTCACTTTATAGAAGTGAATAAATCAGTTTCCACCATTACCTCTTCACTAAATTGAGAATGAGTAAGGCATTCAGTATATCTTTACATGGTATTAATCTGCTCCTGGAAATAAAGATCTAATTCACAAATTATTACCTTCCAAGTGTCTTGATCTTGAGGTTCATCCCTTCTACTCTCTATTACTCTTTTGTATTTAGAACTAAGTAAGTTCATGCGATAAACAGCATGTGCTACAGCATACACTGCATTGTAGATACTGTAGCTGTGGCCGGTCATTTCAAATAAATTTGCAGGAAGTTTTTTTAGATCTTCCCTCCCAGTACATGCTTCACCACTTTCCACCTGTTTATTGCTCTCTGAAAACAAACAATCAAAGGCTTGCTCCCAGAATTCTTTCAACAAACTATCTCGTTGGGTCTGGAATGGTTTGATGGCCCCAAGGAATTCACTGGAACCTGGCAATTCATTGGAGTGAATATCAAAAGAAATTGCTCCATTGAACAATTGCAGATCTGAGGGTCGATGAAAGCTTGTTAACATTAAATCCATTTGAGCTGTCAAAATCCATATTTTTCCCACTTCTTTCCAACTGTTGTAATATTTAAAGAACATTAGCAGAAGGATCAGTGTGATGCTGTCCCCATAGAATATGAATGTATTGATATCAGTATGGAACAAATAACGATATACCTTATACACTACAATATTCTGAAACACAAAAAAAAATACTTGTTTGGGCATTCTCTCCACAAAGGCAGAACAGATCCTGTTCTCAGAAAGAAGTGGGTCCAGGGCTTGGAGGAAATTGTCTCCGCTGTCATCATCCAGAATTATAAGGCCAATCCATGTCCATCCAAAGTGCTTCAGCAAATGGATAATCCCCACAATCTGAAGGCTTTCATTGGGAGCCATGCGGTAAAAGGAAGCAGCCATATTTGTTCCATGCTTCTTTGGAGCAAAAGAGCCATAGGCAAGCTAAAATACAATGTATGCTTGGTTCTTATGGTTGGTATGCCTCAACTAACCTGAGAAAAGACAGAAGGTCTTTTCTTGCATGAGCTTCCATTCCCAATTGTATCTGAATCTTGCACCATTATGATTGCTATCGACTAAATGGTAAATAAATGGAATGCGATTTATTTTTCTCAATTCAATTTACATCCTGCCTTCCCTTCAGGCACACAAGAGGATATATGCAGCTCTCTAAGCAGCCCTGTAGATTTGGCTGAGAGAGTTTGATAGACACAGTCACAGCCAATTCAGAACTAGATGAGCAGCTTAAGTTCTCAACTTCTGTTCTCTATTTCCAATGTGATGCATCAGATAGGGCTTAAATCCAACTCCTAAACTTTACCAGGCTCTTTCTGCATCATTAAAACATAATCTAACCCCTACTTGGAAAAGAATTGTTCCCCGTTCTCTTCAATTTTGCCACATGGATGGGTTTTCCTACATATCTCACCTGTGGGATTTTATAAAGGCTTATGACATGTGACATGAAGAATGAGATATCAGCACCAAATCCTCCAATAATGGCCACAACGGGATTCTCCTTGGTGTCACATCTGTAGTTGACAACCAACTGATTGGATGGGAAGAGCAGTTCCAAAGTGGAACGGTAAGTCAGCCGGGCATCAAAATAGTTGTCAGAGATGAAAAATCCCAGAGTAACATTAGATAAGAGTCTTGTGTTTGAGTTGATCTGTTCCACAGCAAATGCCAAACTCAGGGAATGCTGATACAATTTTAAAACAACTCTGTAAACATCATTGAGGGATAAGTGAATTAGAGAGGTTGATGCAAGTAAAATATATTCAATGAAGCAATAATAACAATATGAATAATATTCTTAATAACAAGCTAAATACAATACTTATCAGCTAGAACAATAGTAACTATTTATTAGCTAAAACAGATTGAAAAGCATAACTAAAAATGTACCAAGCAAGATAACACTCAAATCTCTTATAAAATGCCAGGAGCAACTTAGTAACAATAATAGAAATACCCCATGGGTAGCCAGTTTCCATGATACCTGATATCAGGCAGAAACTCTCCTCCACATAATCAGCAGTTTTTATCAAAATCTGGCATAAGACTTCATTGCCCTGCTACAGCAGGATACTGCACTATCTGACCTTGATTCAGTGGTACATGACTCCAGGATGGGAATCATAAGTCTGAAGCTTCCATAGCAAGAGAAGCTTTGAAGCTGTGTTAAAATTCCTTCCACTTTTAGCAAGATGAGAAAAGAAGGAGACTAGCTGAACTTGGAGGCTTTTCTTAGTATGAAGGAGAAATCAAAATATGTCAGTAACTCCTCACAATAATAATGGTCTTCCCACATTGTTACTACAGAGGGTCTGGCTGAAACATTGGCTATGCTTTGGAAACTTTGATTAGAAATAATACTGGTTATAAGTTGGTGCGACACCTTGCAATTTACTCTGCCTAATTTAGAAAAACAGGAAGAGAATTACTTACACAGGTGGCATAAATGACTTCTGTAAAGGATACTCTTTAAAGGAATGTTCCTCCAGTACATATATAGTCTGAGCTGTGATCCCACCAATAAGAAGGTTTCCTGGTTTATACCATTCATGAAGGAGATGTGAAGGATCACTTCTAAGGCAAGATGTGGCATCTATTTGGCACTTTATGTCAATCAGCAAACACAGTATGATCACTACCCTCAACATTTCCTCTAGAGGAGACTTATTACTTACTGTCTAGAATCCCACCACTGTGTATTATGCAACTATTTCCCATTTACTACAAAATCTAGGAACATGTCCAGATAACACACATCAGCTCTGTCATTTCATTGGTTGAAATCAAAATGATTTGCAGAACATGCCATGCTGGACAAGCACATTCTAATGAATGGAACTCATCACCAGAGTCCAAAGGATCAAGATCCTGGTTTTATAACCAATCCTCCAGACTGACTTTTGAATTATTTCTTAGTGTTTTCTGGAAAGTTGCTGGAACTGTGTCGTGAAACACCAATGAGGGTCATTTAGCTTAATTGCAATAAACAGCCACCTCTACCAAATGGAATCTCTTGGGTTTAGAGAGCAATTATTTCACTTCCACATTACACCATTGAAGACAACCGTATCCTTAATTTTTAAAGGACATATCACAAAAAAGAATGATATATTATTATTTCTGTAAAATTCTTCCCAAACCAAATATTCATGGCTGAAATCTCTATGTTCTCCAAGAGTATCTCTGTAGGAAATCATTGAGCACAATAAACCTCAAAGGAGACACTGAGGTTGATATTCTAGAGCAGGGGTGTCAAACTCGCAACATCACGTGACATGTCATGACGTATCGCGACTTTTTTGCCATTGCCAGCAATGGGGTGGGCGTGGTTTCACTATGATGCATCCAGCCCATGGGCCGGAAGTTTGACACCCCTGTTCTAGAGGTTCCTTATTCTTTTCTAAAATATGCATATGCAGAATAAGTACAAGCATGATACTTGCTTATTCTGATTGACACTTAACCTGGCTTTTTTTTTTTTTTGAAGACCAATCCCAAATTTCCTCTAAGAACTTGAAGGAAAGTTCAAGATTTCATCCTCTGTATGAATTCTATTAAATCCCCTAGTAAGCCTTAAGGTGATTTCTTTGATCCCAGTTAGATTTAGGAATAATACAATAAGAGAATAATAGAGTTGGAAGAGACCTTGGAGGTCTTCTAGTCCAATCTCCTGCTCAAGCAGGAAATCCTTTAAAATTTCAGACAAATGGTTGTCTGATATCTTCTTAAATACCTCCAGTGTTAGAGCACCCACAACTTCTGGAGGCAAGTTGTTCCACTGATTAATTGTTCTAATTGTCAGGAACTTTCTCCTTGCTTCTAGGTTGCTTCCTTTCTTGATTAGTTTCCATCTGTTGCTTCTTTTCCTGCCTTAAGGTGCTTTGGAGAATAGCTTGTCTTGCTCTTCTCTGTAGGAGTTGTTTTGATATTGGAATACTGCTATCATATCACCCCTAGTCCTTCTTTTCATTAAACTAGAATACACAATTCCTGCAACTGTTTTTCATATGTTATAACTTCCAGTCCCCTGATCCTCTTTGTTGCTCTTCTCTGCATTCTTTGTTTTTTACACTGTATAGATAATACAAGGCATTATAAAGTGGTATTAACCCTTTACATGATCTTGATTCTATCCCTCAGTTAATGCAGTCTAGGACTGTATTGGCTTTTTGGCAGCTGCAGCACAATGCTGGCTCATATTCAAATGATTGTCCACTAGGGCTCCAGGATCCCTTTTGCAGCTGCTACTGTTGAACCAGGTACCACATATTCTATACCTGTGCATTTGGTTTTTCTTACCTAAATGTGGCCCCCTACTTTTCTCATGACTGAATTTTATTTTGTTAGATAGGGCCCAGTGTTCATGTCTCTCAAGATCTTTTTTCATCTTGTGTCTATTTTCTGGAGTGTTGCCTATTCCTGACAGCCTGGTGTCATCTGCAGATTTGATGAATTCCCCTTCTATCCCCTTGTCTAAATCATTGATGAAGATATCGAAGAGTACTGGGTGTCAACATTCTGAAATGAACCTGGCTGAAGCCATTTTTGTCATTCTCAATTGCCACACAGGTTGGGGGGAGGGGGGAAGAAACCAAAAGGATTGCTAGACTAAACATAGAGTGATCCCATAGGAACCAAGGTCATTCCAAGGTGCTGGAAGGTAGAGAGAAAAAGTGTCAATTGCCGTCATTGGGTAGCATGATCAATAGCATAGTAAGGATAGGGAAGTGTTACATTTAGTTACATTGAATTCTTGGGGGGAAGTTTAGAGTTGGTTTCATTTTTGACCGTGCCGATATTATGTATCCAATAAACATGTTCTTTGAGGAAACTTCAAGCCTCAGAGTTCTGATTTGTTTAGGTCCATTAGTCAGAACCTTGACACTGGGACTAAGAACGAGCCTTGGGGTATCCCACTGCATACTTCCTTCCATGTAAATGCAGTTCCACTTAGGACTACACGTTGAGTGTGGTTGGTCAGCCACTTACTGTACAAATCCATTTGGTGTTGATCCTGTCTAACCCACATTTTTCTATCTTATCAAGTAGTAGGTTGCGGTCAACTTTATCAGATACTTTACTGAAGTCCAAGTAAATTATATCCACAGCATTTTGATGGTCCATTAATTTTGTAATTTTGACAAAGAATGCTATAAGATTTGTCTGGCATGATCTGTTTTTAATAAATCTATATTGGCTTCTGCTTATGACTTTGTTTGCCTCTAGGTGTTCACCAATTTGATGCTTGATTATCTTTTCCAAAATCATTCCCAGCCCTGCCAAGAAGCTTACTTTGATTTTTTTTTCTTTTTGGAACCTGGTGCTCAGCCTTGCCCAGAAACTCTTTGCAAAGAGGCTATTTAGTGTTTTTTTCCATAGTTGAAACCCAGGCCAGCCATGCCGGGTCAGCAGCAGAAGTAACAAGATGCTGAAGGTCAGCTGAGGCAATGGAGCAAAAAAAGAGGGCAAAAAGGGAAAATATTGGGGAGAGGGAAAGGTTAGTTAGAGGGGAGATAGCTGAAACACCCCTGTGGTTGATAAATGTGAGCAGGCTGCCACGTTGTCAAATTTTGGTGATATGACCCTCCTCCCCAGAGGCCCTGAAATTGCCATAATTTTGATCATGGCTTATAGTCCCTTCATTCATCACCATCAAGCAATCAGAATAAAGCTAGACGGGACCTTGGAGGTCTTCTAGTCCAACCCTCACTCAAGCAGTAGACCCAATACAATTTCTGACAAGTGATTGTCCAATCACTTTGGGAGCACCCAAACTTCTGAAGACAAGTTGTTCCACTGGTTAATTGTCCTCATTTTTACGAAGTTTCTCCTTAATTCCAGTTTGCTTCTCTCCTTGATTAGTTTCCATCCATTGTTTTTTGTCTTAACTGCTGGTGCTTTGGAAAATAAGCCGACCCTCCCTCTTTGTGGCAGCCCCTCAAATACTGGAATACTGCTATCATGTCATCCCTAGTCCTTCTTTTCTCTAGACTGGCCATGCCCAATTCCTGCAACCAGGTCCTAAGTTAAGGAATGTGTCTATGTTGCAACCATACAGAGAGAAATGTATACTGTAGATTTACATTGGAAATTTACTTGTAACTGGTATTAAGAAGCAAGTTGTTTATAATGTTTTCTTTTTTCCTTCCCTTTCTTTTTCTTTTCTCTGTTTCATGATGATAAAGATCCAAAATATATTACAGATATTACATTATTGTTTATAATTATCAAACCTGGAAGAAGACCTATTATTTTATTCATTAAATAGGTTTTGCAAATAATCAGAAATAAGAGAAAGTACTTTATTGAAACCAGATTCACTCATTATACAGTGAAATATTTTATTTTCCATGTCACCTCATAAGATTTTGACAAACACTGCTATAGAGTTATACAAATTAAATATCAATAAAATTGCCATGGCTAATAAACAAGCATAGTTTTTATTCTTAGAAAAGGATTGCTAATTCCATTTCACAATAGAAATAAATATACCCATAATTAGTCAGAAATGCTTCTTCTTTACAAGTTGCTCTTTGCTGTTAAGGTCAGGCCTCAAAAAAATAATGTAGCATTTGGGGGAAAAGATGCATCCCAATAACCCAGCACTAGAAGCTAAGATGGAGAAGATCTCCACAGCTACCATATACTTTCCTTTGGTGCTCACATAGGTTGGAACAAAAGTTAACCAAACACTACAAAACATCAGCATGCTAAAAGTGATGAACTTGGCTTCGTTGAATGTGTCTGGCAGGTTCCTAGCTAGGAAAGCCACCAGGAAGCTGACCAGAGACAGAAACCCCATATAGCCCAAGACAAGATAAAACATCACAACAGATCCTTCATTACATTCTGCTATGATCTCTTTAGTCATTGATTTCAAGTTAAGTTCTGGAAAAGGGGGAGAGGTGATCATCCATGCCAGACAAATGCCTGCTTGAATGAAGGAGCCAGAAAAAATAATTAAGATGGACAGTCTTTTCCCCAACCATTTTCTCATGCCAGACCCTGGTTTGATAGCCATGAATGCTCCAATGACCATGATCGTTTTGGCCAATATACAAGAAATGGCAACAGAGAAGATAATGCCAAACACAGATTGTCTGATGAAGCAAATCAGTTTGAAAGGTTTTCCAAGGAAGAGAAAAGAGCAGAGGAAGCAAAGCAGAAGGGAGATGAGGAGAGTGTAGGTGAGATCCTTGTTGTTAGCTTTAACAATAGGGGTGTCCTTATACTTAATAAATATTCCAAGTATGAGCGTGGTAATGACTGAAAATAAAAAAAGCAACTACCACTAAACTGATCCCTAAAGGTTCGTCAAAGGTTAGAAAAGTTATAATTTTGGGGATGCATTGAACTTTATCCTTACTTGAATATTGATCTTCTGGACATTCAGAACAAGCAATCATATCTACAAATAAGAGAGAGGAATATTAACATGGAGCACAAAATAAAATATATAATTTAGATTAAATCAGTGTTTTGTAAACTTAGACACTATATAAAGCCTGGCCTTCAACTCTAAGAATTCTGTCTGGAGAATTCTGGGATTTTGGTTCATCTCTTAAAGTGGTTATGTTTGAAAACCATTTGATTAGCTCATTAGATAATCAGATTCAGCAAGCTGAATTTCCATACTGAAAATATT